AAGTAACTTTCAAGAAAGGGAGCATTATAGAAACTTACTCAATAGATCTAGTTTTTGTCACAAAGGTTAGGGAACAGGAACAAGAAGAATCCTATAAAGACCGAGAAGTCAGCAAAGGAGATGGAATACTGTATACACAAATGAAGGAGAAAGTAAGAAAAGAATACTGCAGGCATGGGCGTGGGGTGATAAATACCGACTTAAATAAAAAAAACAAAACAAAACAAAACAAAAACAGAATATCAGCCATAAAGGTTTTGGCTGTTCTTGTGGCGCAATACAACTCCAACATCTTTAATTGGGTCATAAGGTGATATTAAACGCCTCGATGTCAAAACGAGAAAACTTGCCATGACATGCATCATCCTAAAGCTGATATTGATCGTCTGTATTTACCCAGATCCGAAGGAGGCAGAGGATTGATTCAACTAGAACTGTCTTTCAAAAGCACAACAATCGGACTTCAAAGATACCTGGAAATTACAGAAGACTGGATGAGGATCCATGTCAAAGAACATGAAAAAAAAAAAGAAACTTTATTCAGTAATAAAGGAAGGTAACAGAACCAAAAGGAAATTTCAAATGGGTGAAAAAGGGCAAATAAACCGTAATACAATGGCAAAGAACCTAAAAACAAACCATAATACTACGACAGTGGAAAAGAATCTAAAAAAGAAACCAAAAGCAAATGCAATGTACCAAATACAGAAACTGTGGTAAGATAAGTCTCTTCATGATCAATACTCTACCCGTACCAAACAATATAAACAAACCTCATACCCATCAGTGGTTATGTAGTGCAGGATTAAAAGCGGAAACTGAAGGCTTTATTCTTGCAGCACAGGACCAATGCTTGCTAACTAGAAATTACCAAACACATACTGAAAATTTGTGCTAGCCCAGAATGCAAATTCTGTAATAAATATCCAGAAACAATTGACTGATTCAATCTTGTGATATGTTGCAATAATAATAATAATAATGATAATAATAATAATAATAATAATAATGAATTACTATCCTTGGATCTACTTTGTTTTTCGTTAATTCCCTTCCTGTTGAAATCAGTTCTCAACTAGGTATATATGACACAACAATTTACTCCTATCTCGATTGTAAGTCTGATCAGTTTGATAAGGCCAAATTTGCAGCTGATCTCAAAAAATGCCCTACAGTCTGTTGTTAACTGGGGCAAGAATTGCTTGTTAATTTTAACGCCTCCAAAACAAAAAAAGTCTCTTTATCATGAAAGACTTCTTCCTGCCTCCCATCAGCATGGCTGATACTAACCTCCATGAAAGAGACAAGTTGCGTTTTCTCTGGCTAACCTTTCAGGCTGACATGAAATGAAAAGATTATATTGAATTCATTGGTAGGTCTGCTACTAAGAAAGCTGGTTCAATTTTTTCTTTTACATTTATCTTACATATTTATAAGTCTACCATTCGTCCATACTTTAAATATAACTGCTACAAATGGTTATGTGCTCCTGAGGTATATTTAAAGATTCTTTATAAAATCCAAGGACGAATCGACAATATTATTGGTTCTGATCTGGCATCTCGGCTTCAGTCACTTTATCACTACTGTAATGCAGCTTCCCTGTGCATTTTCTATAAACACTTCCATGGTAAGTGTCTGGATGAACTCTTTGCTATGGTACTTAAATTTTATGAATTTAAATGCAGTACTAGATTGGCGTAAAGGTCTGATCAATTCACAGTTGAATTGGCTAGATGTAACCGTAAGTTCTATGCTAGCAGTTTCTTTTCTCGTGTGTCTCGTTTTTGTGAAACTCTCTTCTGGCTCCATGCTTTCAAGCTAACATTAATCTTCAAAAACTGTCGATCGTTATCTACTGTCTTTTTGATAACTTTTCTACTGTTCTCGCTTCTTAATCATTTTTTTTTATTCGTGTAACCTCTTGTATCTTAGTGGCTTTATTGCCTTGCATGGAGTGATATGATTAAAACATAAACAAAAAAAAATGACGATATTCAAACACTTGTCAGGAATGACTTGATGATTGAAAAAAAATCTCTTGAAAGGTTCCATAGTCGGAGAGCATATGTAACTAATCACCATGTTACACCTTGTTAAAGGCTTTTACAATATCTGAGGCGATGTCCTCGTGATAAATTTATTTTTTGTTCTGTGTGCAATTGCATACAGTCAAATCACGTTGAAAATATCGGTTCTCGTCTGGTTGTTGAAGTTAAGCTGCGACGAGCCTGGTTGAACTTAGATGGGGGACTTCTTAGGAATACCGGATACTGCAAGCAACCTCTTATAATCCGAAATATCAACCAACCAGTGTGTAATGACATTTAGGACATCAGCAGTAGGCCGAAATAGAGCGAAATACATAGTGTTTGTCGTTCAGTAAGCGGTGCCTGTTGACGTGATCAGTAAACTTCTTGTTAACCATAGACTCAGTGTATGTTGATGACGTTGCGGTGGCTGATAACCCGATATTGCGACGGAGATGAGATCTCAGCCTCATTCTTGAAAATAAGAGTTATCCATTTCAAACCTTTTTTTTTTGTGGACTGAAATGGATGCTTCGTCATTATTTTAGGCTGGGTGTTTCAACTATTGGACTGTGTGTTTAAAAAATATTCTCACCGTTTGTTCTATGTTCTCATTTCCACTGGACTTTCTTTTCCTCGCCACAGTCTTGGCTCTTTTGATTGCAATCTCGTCCTCCGTTGATGGAGATTTCGTTTTACGAGGCATACTACTTCTTTATGGGATAGGCAACAATAAACTACAGAAGAACTGAAAATTGATCGCTGCATTTCAGTATTGCATTAATATTTAAGGTTCTTTTAAAAGTTCAACCATAATTCTTAAGTCGCCACTTAATTTAAAGACAATTTGCTTAGGTCCTTACTTTCCATACAAATAATCATTTTTTATTTCAAGGGTAACTTTCGCTGGATTTCTCAATTTATTTCAATCATTCCCAAATTTATTTCTTAGTAATAAAAATTTTATCGTACAAAAAAATTCGTCAAAAAAAAATAACGTAAAAAATCGCCGAAAACAATCCCACTAATGAAAATTTGGGAATCCAAAATTTCTGTAACATGAGCTATTGAAAGTTAGAGAGTTGTGCTCGTTTAATTGAAGAAGTCAACGAAATGCTGAATTTTTTTGCTTACGTTAAAAAGGCTATGGCTTTAACTTTCCCTGTTTTATTATTCCCTTCAAGCTGAGCGCATAAAAAAGAGAGAAAGTGGGATTATTAAAGTGGATGTCACAGAGAGAAAGTCACTGAAAAGGAGAAATTCTTTTGGTTGCTTTCCAGCACCACACTCTATTGAAGTGATGTTTTTATTGCATGCGGCTGGAGACATTTCCTATTCGAAAGACATATAGTCGGACAGATTTAGTCGAAAAATGTGTATCATTCTGTTCTGAAAAGCATCCATGAACGTCTGACGACATTAGTGTCATATCAAAATTTCTTTTTTCTCTGATATTAAAAAGTTTTATCCCATGGAGGGTATTCTTGACTCTTTCTTAAAACCCAGATTCAGTCACGTAACCATTACCCAGAAAGTTTTTGACCAGTTCATACGCGAAGTAAATAGAATCAAAGTCTACTCTTTTTGTGATTAAAAGGTAAGTTTTCATCCGTTTCAATGCCTTAAGATCTACTTTTTAATATTCAAAATTATTTTTTAAGGTTATGTAATAATATTTCTTGATAGTATTGTATATTATTTCATTAAGCATGTTAAATTTTGTTAATTTTTTGGGGCCACAAATGGTGGTTGTCCTTTTCCCTCTCTACCTTGTCAATTTGCTTGCATAATGGAGTGCACGTCCTGGTTCCCAAGTCACCACTTTGAAAAATATATATATATATATATATATATATATATATATATATATATATATATATATATATTAAAGTGAAGAGAAATCGCAAACGTTTTTGATTATAATGGGTTTTTTTAAATATATATAATACTTTATTTTCCATATATTTGCTACACGGGTTTCCCGTTTCGCGACCTTCATCAGGCAAAAATGTTTATTTTCACATTATGAAAAAGAATTAATTTTCCCTGTTTTCGGATGTTTAACTCTTGTCCTCTGTGTGTAGTAGTAACCTAATTTTTTCTTGAACTTGTTCAAGAAAAATTTTAGACAATAAATTTTAGACAATTGAAAAATGTTCATGAAAGTATATTTGTTTCGAAATATATCCGATTATGCATTTCGCCGTTTATGGTTTCATCATATCCGAAAACGAAAAAGTGAAATTCTTGTATGTGTATCTATGTGCATGTTTAAATAATGAATTTTTTTTCTTTTTATTTTTAGAAAAGCTGGCTTTTCTAGTGACTAAAAAAAGAGTAAGAAAAAAGAAATGAGTGACATTTAGAAAATCATTAATATTTATTTTCTCAACTTTCAGTTTTCGAGTCGAAAGTATAATTCATCAGAATGAGTAGAAAGTAAAAGATTTATTTGTTTTTATCCATGCGTTTTCTTTATCGACAGTATGTTTTAAAAATTAGAATAGATGATTCCGACAAAGTCTTTCAAATTTTAGACAATTACAAAACGTTCATGAAAGTATATTTGTCCCTAAATATATCTAATTATGCCTTTCGTCCATTTCATTTGGTTTCTTTTTGTCTATGTTTGATCTCTTTTTTTTTATTAAATATCCCACATTGTAATAATAAACAATCTGGCAGGAAATTTACATTATACGTTTGGGCCGTTGTACACTCCTTCTTCAGGTGGTTGGAATGTCGAAATGAACCCTTTATTTAGCTCATTGGGGTAGACTGTTCTAGTTCCACATGCCATGTCTAATGGATGTCAGTTATCAGTTAACTCCTGTTAATTCACCTTTCCAAGTTCTCCACTGCCTTAATCAGGTATTGAACTCACAACTCTTTGGTTACTGTCACTAGATCTAACCAATGACTTTATCTTCTTCTTCTTCTTCTTCTTCTTATTATTATTATTATTATTAGTAGTAGTAGTATTAATAATGTTGTTGTTGTTGTTGCTGGTTTCTTCTACTTCTTATTCTTTTCTTTTTCCTCTTATTTTCTCTTTCTTCTTCTCATCCTTCTCATTTTTTTCATCTGTTTTATTCTCTTTTTTTATTCTCCTGGGTTCTTTCTTTTTCTCCCTCCTTTCTTCTTGTTTTTCATTCTTCTCCTCTTCTTCCTCCTCATTCTTTCTTCTTCTTCTTCTTATTATTATTAGAGATTATTATTATTTTATAATAAAAATAATAATAATTTTCTGATATTGTTTTCACTTATTCTTTCTTTTTTCTTCTTCTTCTTCTTCTTCTTCTTCTTCTTCTTCTTATTATTAATAAATTATTATTATTTAATAATAATAATGTTTCTGATATTGTTTTCTACTTAAATTTTATTTTTTTCTTTTTTCTTCTTCTTTTCTTTTTAATAATGTTGTTGTTGCTGATATTGCTTATTTTCATCTTATTCTTTTTTCTTTTTTATTCTTCATCTTTTTTCTATTTTTCCTCATTTTTCTTTTCTTCTCATCCTTCTTATTTTCTTTTTCTTTTTGTTTTTTCCTTCTATTTATTCTCCTAACTTCTATCTATTTCACCCTCATTTCTTCTTCTTCTTCTTCTTCTTCTCCTCCTCCTTCTTCTTCTTCTTCTCCTCCTTCTTCTTCTTCTTCTTCTTCTTCTTCTTCTACTCACATTCTTTTCTTCCTAGATTCCTTCTTCTTTTCTTCCTTTTCATTTCATTTACTTCTTTTTATCACTCCCTTCTTTTTTCTCTTCATTCCGGATTATCTTGATTACGTCACCGGATTTGACTTTTATTCTTAATATATTTCCTCATTATCCTACTCATCCATCTTTTCCGTCAGTCAACAACGAGTTCTCGTTGTTGTAGTTACGCGTCTTTCAATTTTCCACTTCTTTTTCACTCCTTCGCTCTTGCTTGCTTTCTTTCTTTCTTTCTTTCTTTCTTTCTTTCTTTCTTTCTTTCTTTCTTTCTCATTGTTTTTCAAACTTCACATCTTTCTTTTCATCGTTCCCCAAACTTCTTTCTTTTTCCCCATGCTTCTTTCTCCTTTCTTTCCCACCTAATTTCCCTTTTTGAGTTGCCATTTTGCTGCTGCTACCCCTGCCACCTTCTTCTTCTTCTTCTTCTTCTTCTTCTTCTTCTTGTTTTCGTTTCAGCTGTATGTTTAGGCTAAGAGTTAGTATTGTTTTTCCCTACCGTTCCTTATTGTTTCGTCTTCTCAGATTTGGTGATCGTGTCTCCCACAATCGATAAAGCCGCCACTTGTCAATCAGGAAACGGGAAATTGACTTTCAAAAATGTCTGCCATCTCCTTGACCCGAGCCAGGAATAACACTTGAATGGTGAGACACAAATAAATATGAAAAAAAGAAGGAAATAGTAAACTAAACAGTTAGCTTTGCTTACCGACTTTCATTTGAAATTTTGGTTTTACTCTAATTCTAATTAGTAACATCTGAATAATAAGTTTTAATATGGTTTGATAATATAATTGTAAAATCTTTCTGAATTAGAGTATAAATATTAACAGTACAAATATAGGTATTATTTTTTTTATTGATTCATATTTACAACTGGTTAGTTATATAAGCTCTAGCAGTTTCTTTCTGTGTCGTTTTCTTTTAAATCTGGTTCCATCGTGGTCTTCCGCAACATTCGCTCTTTTATTCCTCTAAGTAACTTTTGACCTTTTACTAACCCACTACGTCCCTCTGCTGTCATCCATTTGTACAACCTCATTACGTAGGATTCTCATTGCCATTCGTACAACCTCATTACGTAGGATGCTCATTGCCATTCGTACAACCTCATTACGTAAGATGCTCATTGCCATTCGTACAACCTCATTACGTAGGATTCTCATTGCCATTCTTGCAACCTCATTACGTAGGATGCTCATTGCCATTCGTACAACCTCATTACGTAGGATGCTCATTGCCATTCGTACAACCTCATTACGTAGGATGCCTCTGCTTCTCACAAACCTCATATTCAGTAAAGTGAATTCTTGCTGCCTAAATTATATATATATATATATATATATATATATATATATATATAATAAAAAGGCTTAAACACTAATATTCCATGGTCATAATTTATTTCATTGGAATCGTAAATACGATCCAATTCATCAGACCTACAAATTAAAAAAGAAAACAGAAAAAAACAACCCCGGAAATAAAAATACAATTTAGAGAGTGTGTAAGTATGAGAGTGTAGGACGAATGTTAGAGCTAAAGAGAGGGGTAACAGACATATATATATATATATATATATATATATATATATATATATATTTCGTAAAGTCACAACTTCGCTGGGTTGATCATGTTGCACATCTGAGTGACGTCAGAATGCCTAAGGTCCTCATGTATAGTCAGCTTCACAATGGACACAAGACTTAGACGGCCGTGGCTCAGATATAAAGACAAGCTAAAGAGTAACTTCTCAGCCGTCAATGTACCTTATACTAACTTCGAGCGTGTTGAATATTCGAGAAATCTTATTAGATAAAAATATGCGATCTCCTGCAGGATTGGAGCTATGTTACTGTAGATGAAACCGTCATTAAATCTGGTCACAGATTGCGTCAATGTCACTATACAACATTGCTTGATCATCAATGCACTTCATTACAATAGACTATTGACGGTTGATTGTAGCTCGCACCCAATGAAGGTGTTCATATTTTTGCTAGTGTTTGCTATTGTTTGGAAACGACCCTCGATCGGCCTAGAAACTTTCATGCATCTCAGAAAACTAAAGAATATATTCCAAATGTCTGACGAATCATTTCGCGAATTTCACTAACAGATTTTTCCCCAATTCGCACCAACATGAAATGCAGATACATTGCTCGAATTTGTAATGACGAATGAACCCTTTCAAAGCAACGTAGCAAAAACTTTCTTAATAATTTGAGGACGAAGACTTTTGGCAGACTTACAGGAAGCCATACAATGCGAGATCCTCATCCATTGTTGCTGGATGATAAATTAGTAACTTATAAAGTTCCTGAAAACTGCTAAAGCAACCACATGCAGTGTGTTCCAGAAGTCACCTATTTATTTAAGAATCTAGTAATTTCAACATATTTTTTTTAATATTCAAAAATATCTTTACGCAGAATGAAAAGTCAAACCCTGGAAATATATTCCCTTTTACTAATGAAAAATCATACGAAAAATTTCGACTCAATGCAGACAATTACGTTCGAGGAATTTTCTACATAACCCAGGTGGCAGGATTCGAATTTCTGTTCAGATGTCATCCTTTTCATAAATTCTCGGTCGTTTATTGTTGTATGCACGCTCCTTAAAATATTACCTTAGAATATACACGTTCGTCAAATCAGAATAAGGTGGCAATATTATTTCGGAATTTTCCTAAATTAACCGGTAACCAAAATTTCGTCATAGAAGTTCCATGGTGTGATGTGTCTCCGTCTTGTTGAAACTACATCTCATGTTTCTTCTGCACTGATAGATGCAAAAGGACCCTGACTTGATACCGCTTACTAGCGCATTGCACTGTGATTTTGAATAAAAATAAATAAATAAATAAAATCGAAAAAAAAAAAAAAAAAAAACAAACAATAAAATTATATGATTTTGGTTATTTGTTTCCTTGTGGATTTTTCTTTGGTTAAAATTCGTGATGTTCATCTATGTTCTAAATGATTCCAATGCTTCTAAAACTGAATTCATAAGTTTCAACCAGCAAGGCCCAGTATAAAATGCCTCAGGAGAATCAATAAAATCTGTCGAATCTTTCACATAACTTGGAAGCAAAAAAAGTGTGAAAATTCGTAAAGCTAAAACCTGGGCCGTCTTGGATAAAATTGAATGGAATCTGGAAATCTGACCTACCAGAGATTCTTTCACGCCACTGTAGAGGCGGTTTTATGTATGGTGCCAATGTTTGGACATTAATCAAAACCCTTGTGTCTAAGCTTGATGGGACATACACTCGGATGCCGAGAGCTATATCGTCTTTGGGGACAACATCCAACTAAATCACAGCTCTATGGACCCATCCCTGATATTCCTACAATCTTACACGAATGCAGAATGCGTTTTTCAAGATACTACTGGCGGTAAAAGAAGAACTACTGCTTTGAACACCTCACCATGGCGCAAGACGCGTTGCTCGCCCAGAAATCATCTACATTGACCATCTATGTTATGACAGAGAATGCCACGCTAACTTTGGTACCAGATCGTGGTGGTTGGCGTGATAAACTCATAAATGTCCGAGCTACTTCGACTGAATAATAAAGTCTGATTTACTCAAAAGAAAAAGAAAAAAAATAGCTAGGGGCCTTTTGAGACATTGTATATAATCTATATAAATTACCAGTGACTTTACGATATTTTAACCATTTTACCCCAAGTAATGTGATGAAGTTTGTAAGTCACAAGTAGTTACTGAGAATGAAATAAACTGAGAAAGGGTTTTTGAGGAGACAGTGCAATATAAGGTGACAAGATGACTGTTGACACTGCATTAAAGAAATTGGAAGGGAATTTCATTGTCGAGAAGTGCAAGAAACGGAAATATTAGACTAAAACTTACGGTTACTTTTAGCAATTCCATCAAAAAATAATGAGACCTAACTTCCAGTCTAGTCGCTCGGTTAAGTGTCATTCGTGATACATGCTCGGGTGATCATGTCGCTTTCGATTCATGACTGACTAGGCAGACGGTTGCCGTTTCTTTTTGCGGTAACAAAGCCTATTTAACACATGACTAGGGTGGGTGAGAAATGATGGAGTCATACATTTCCCAAAGTTTTTTTTTTTTTGCGCATAAATAAATGTATTCAATCTAATACTACGCTTAAATTCATGACATCTAGGTAGTAAAGTGAAAAGAACGTCAGAACAACTGCAATGAAAATACATATTTTAAATGCACATCGAAGCTACAGGCGTTACGGTGTTGGGGAGGGGATTGAAACCGTGGTTCTGGGTTAGGACGGATAGCATTGATCGTTCTTCTTTGAATTTTGCCAAGTATGTCTAGATATATATCAGAAGCACCAAACCAAATGTAGCAACAATATTTGATACACGGACGAATAGTAGACTAAAAAAAGTGCAAAACAGTGAAAGAAAATGTCCCACCCCAAAATTGAATTAATTCAAACGGACTGACAGAATCTATGGATATTATAAACGTATTAATAAATGATTTTGCTATAGAATTTATTAAGAAAGGTAATCCAGGGAAAGGGAGTTTATTTCAAGCTTTACAATATCAGAACATTCTTCTTAACTGCGATCCATCAACAAAGTACACATTGGAAAATATTCAGTAAAATGGCAGAGCGAATTGCGTGTCGTATAAAATCAGAATGCCAACCCGATTGTGCGACGTGGTTGATGTGACACCACGTGATCTGACATCACGTGATCTGACGACGCCTGGTCGAATGAAGGTGATTGAACGTTTCTGTTTCATTCCATTATCCATTGTCCATATTGGATAGGCCAAATAAAATGTTTTCTTCGAAAGAAAAATGAATTCTACTGCGAAAACAGGTTTTCAAAGTGAGCGGTAATCTCATGCTTAGGTAGGCTATGAACTCCTAATAGGAGACTAAGAAATACAAATAAAATAACAGAAAAAAGAAATGACCTTATATGTAACCGACAAATGAACACTGGATAGATCGAGCTAATCGAGTTAATGCTTTATGTTTGACAAAATCCATGTAAGACGGTGTGCATATCTGAGCGGGAACTGTCCAATACTCTCCCTCAATTCCGTCCTAGGTATGACGATAAACTACATCCCCGTCCTGGGTAAGACAATAAATTACATCTAAAAAATAAGGCCTCTAATCAGGAGGTTTTGAGGAGCGTGGAACCATCTCTTAGTTGCTGGTGTTTCCGGATCTACCCTGACTCCGGGGTGGTGGTACTCATTAGGGTCCCAGCTTTGGGCGGGTGGTTGCACCCCCCACCCCACCGGACTGGGGTTGGAATACTGCGAAATTTAGAAATGGATTTTGATACCAGAAATGCTTAGTGAAATGTTGTTGCCGACAATGCGTTGTTGCCAGCAATACGTTTTTGAAAAGAAAAGATATTGCCAGCTCTAGATTTTTGAAGAAAAAAAAATACCAGATATACATTTTGAAAAAAAATATGACCAGCCATAGATTTTTGAAAGAAAAAATATTACCAGCCATAGATTTTTGAAAGAAAAAATATTACCAGCAACAGATTTTTGAAAGAAAAAATCTTACCAGTAAAAGATTTTTGAAAGAAAAAAATACTACCAGCAATAAAAAATATTGTCGGCATTAAATAACACGTTGAGGTTGGTATGCAAAAAAACAAATTTAAACCAACCATATATATATATATATATATATATATATATATATATATATATATATATATATATATATATATATATATATATATATATATATATATATCTGCTCCCCAGCCTCGAAAGAGTTCAAAAAACATTTACTTGGTAATTTTCCACCCCTACCATCCGTTTTCCCAAATACTCAACGTCACAAGCTTCTCGTAACTCTATCGCAATTTCTATTAGAATGTTTTAAATTGATCCATTCCGTAGTTCCGCCTGTTTACAGCCCAAAAGGCGCCATGCCATGTACAAAGGGTCGAACCCATCTTCTTCCCTTCCTACTCTATTGATAAAAAAGAAGCTCTATTTGGTCAGCTTCAGCCACATTGCCGTTGCTTTGTCGATACTTCCCCACTTACTACAATCTTAACCCCTTCAAGTCGAGGGTAAAACTATATCTCTTCTACATATCCTCATAATCTTGGGCATTTCCACGTGGTGTAATTTTTAGCAGGATTGAGTAGTGAGTTCGATCCTCACTGGATGCTCCACACATTCATCCTAGTATCAAAACTAAGCAATGCTTAGTAAATCACCTGAGCTTTGTGTAATGGTTATCAAGGTTGTCTCGCTAGAGCAATTACATCTGAGTAGTGAGTTCGATCTTCACTGGATACCCCATACGTTCGGAGTTGCATCGCATCTAACCTAAGCTTAAAAAATCACAATATCTTTACAAATATGAAAACAATTATCCCCATTCAGTATCACTTTGTATTGAATGAACAATAGGTTGAAAAAAAGCGAAGGTACTACAATTTTAGCAGGTCAGTAAAAATTTGAACAAGTCGCAACATTTTATATACGTATTTTTTGCCTATATATTAGGTTGGTGCAAAAATAATGACGTAATAATGTCGTTTTTGGACGTATTTTTTAACGTCGAAAAACGACATCATTACGTCATTATTTTTGCACCAACCTAATATTTATATCGGGTGTATCATCAGTGGTAGTAACTTTTCAGCGAAACGGTCGACCCTACTTTACTTGGGATTCGAAACTGTATTGATCCACGGCCTAAATCTAACTCTAACGGTCCAAGAATTTGCATAGAAACTACGACAGTCGCACTCTGGTCAATGGCATCGACATCCTGGCGAAACGAAGGTAAACGACCGGACTGTGCAAGGGTAATCGGTTGGGTTTCCGGACTCGAACGGTGAAGGGGTACGTCTCTCCCTAACCGACCTACCAGGTGTAGGAGTCGTGCCTCGGAGATCAAGAGGATCTTCAAAGGGGCTGGGTAACCACAACATCCCCAGTGCAAATAGAACCGGAAAGCCAATGTCCGAAAATCAGCGAACAAAATGAATGCTCTAAGTGATGTATAACCGAAAAAAGGAAAGGTGTAAAATATCAAAGAACGTAGAGTGTGCAATATAAAAATCATTTTGTCTTTATTAAACAAGTATATTATAAAGAAAGATTTGATCAAACGCTGCCTTAAGGACAAGCAAAGTTGTTTATTTGAAATATCTTCATTTGTCTGTTCTCAAGTTCAACAGGTCAACCCGACTGAAGAGCGACGCCCGGAAAGAATTTTAACATAATCTGAAAACATTTCTTATTTTATTGCAACTTCAGTATGAGAATGGATGAACAGAACGAGGCCAATTTTGAAAAAAAATATTTATTATTGCATTATATATATATACATATATATATATATATATATATATATATATATATATATATATAAAATAAATCCTAAAGAGCCAGGAACAACCTACCTGGGTTTCATCTAACGGATCTTTAGAGTAATCTGGCACTGGGCGATTTGTTTCCCCTCTGTTCGGATGTTTCCAATTTTTTTATCTTCTTTCTTTTTATTTTTTAATTTTCTTTCCATTTTTTTTCCTTCGGATACCAATTTGTTTTGATATACTCACAAGTTGTGCCATCCGAGGTTTTTTTTTTCCAATATTACTATATATATATTTTTTTTTTGAAATAATATATATATATATATATATATATATATATATATATATATATATATATAATATCGCACATTCAGTGCTGGTATTAAGAAAAGGGTGCTCGATATAGCATGACAAAGCTATAAATGATATATTAATAATAAATATACATTTTCCTCACCGATAGCACGAGTTTCATGCACAACACAATCTCCAGGTTCTGATTGCAAATTTGCGGTAATATATATATATATATATATATATATATATATATATATATATATATATATATATATATATATATATATATCCATTGCTAGGTCTGCTGCTAAAAATGTTGGTTCAGTGTGTCGTGGTGGACAATTTTTCTCTCCATATTCTTACATATCTATAAGTGTACAATTCGTTCATCCTTAGAATATTGCTGCCATATATGGTCCGCTTCACGTGCTATTTATAACGAGTTCTTTTATAAATCAATATTATTTGTTCTGATTTGGTGTCCCTGCTTCAGTCACTTTCCTACCAGTGCTAGTTCTATAAATACTTTGCCCTCCTGTGCCTTTTCTACAAACACTTTCCTGGTAATTGTTCGGATAACCTCTTCGCTTTACGCATTATTGTATAGTGATTTTATATCAAGACTAACCATGAATTAGTCTCATATTTGTTTCTCTTAGTTTTTCTACTAAATTGACAGGAATGGACAGCGCAAAAACCCCACTCCTTGAAACAATCAGTCTGTCACGTATAAAAATATTCAGGAAACGTACTTGAAAAACTAAGGGAATATATATATATATATATATATATATATATATATATATATATATATATATATATATATATACATATATATATTACCTTTGTGAAAATTTTAGAGCTTTTCTTAAATTGAAAAATAATATATACACGAATCTTTTCAATTCAGTTTATAAACAGTAGTAACAAAATAAAAACCTTACATTTGCCATCATAAAATCAGAGAACGAAATGCATTGGTTTTCATTTGTCTTTATTAATATGTGCGTGTGTGTGCGCGCACATTTCATTTCATACGGCAGACAAGGTACTTTGATTTTGTCTTTTACACAATTTTTCATTGTGATCATTTTATTTCTTTTCGGATGAAAAATTATATAAAAATTGTTCAATTGCTCTTTCGAACGCTTTCGGCTATATATTTAGCCATTTTCAAAATGGCTAAATGTAGAGCCGAAAAAAAAAGGCTAAAAAGGGTGTAAACTTTATTATTAAAAACAAAAAACAACACTCAATAATATCAACTATGAACATGGACACAATATCTTGACTGTATTTTCAAAATGAAAACATATAAATGCATACATACCACAATATATTTCTTGTTAATAGTTGATATATTTCAACTTTGATGTGTTTTTTTGGCAGCATATCTTCATTCAAGCATGCTTGGTTAAATAATCTTGACATATATCTATTTACTTTATTTTAATCTTCGAATTAATTTCTTACTGTTCTTACTGTTTTGATCGATAAAAACGCCGCAATTATCCATATAGCTTTTACCTTCACAAGTACTTTCAATCTCATCCACGATCATCATCAAGGATGAATTACTAAGAATTAATATAAGTTATGAATATGTGTGAGCATAAAGGCTGTAAAATTCGTAGCATTTACCAATATGTAAGGGAGGTAACTTAATTTATGTTAATTATTATCAAAATAATGATTACCTGTTTTAAATATTGTTTTAATTGTAGTTTTTAACAATTACAATTTACATATTTTAAAACCTAAAATATTTTACAACTTTATTGCTACAGTCATAATTGATTTTATTTATTTTAGCCGTAATTTTTTATATAAAGGGCTTCCAGTATTTGAAGATTTTTTTTCGTGGTGAAGTATACTTATATTGTCCATTAATTTTTATCGAAATCGTGAAAGACGACAGGAATAATTAAGATGTTTTTCTCTATCAGTTTTGTACGGACACTAAGAAATTAATCGGTGAACTAACTGGGGAGGATTAAAATAAATAAACACAATATATTCAGATGATTCAACCAAGCATACTTTTATATATATATATATATATACGCCCATACATACACACACGCACACAAAGAAGAAAATAATCATCCTAAAACCATTACAAAAGCGTAAAATTTGTAAATTAATGTAAAACTAATGAAAATGAGAAAATCCACAATTACTTATACTTCCTGATCAGTGCA